GACCTGAGTGCGGCAGGGAAAGCAATCACAGAGTCAGCTGCACGATGGTTTGCAAAGGGAGACCAGCAGAAAAGTTAGATGGTTACTAGAATGTTCCAAGCAAGAAGGAAGGAGGTATCCTATTCATAAAACGAAGACACGATCAAGGATGGAACCAAAAAGTTATTCTGACCCATCAAAAGGTAAATGAGTCTGTAAACAGGTGAGCCTAGGTATGAACTCTCCCCTTTTCCCACAAATAACTGGGAAGAGCATGACCAGGAATTGCAGGTTAGTGCAAGGGGTGAAACAGATAATGTTTATTGAAGGTCCCCTGTGTGAGAGATGCATTATATAGATTATCACACTTAGATCTCTATATCAGGCCATTCTGAGGGCTGTGCTTTATGATTATCTATTTACAAATGAAAAAAACATAGGTTCAGAGAAGTAAGATGAGGTGCCTATGATCAAAGAATAGATAGTAAAGGAGGTGAATGACCCAATGAATATTAATTAGAATAACACCTACTAGTTGTCAGGGATTGTGAGAAACAATGGTGAACAGGGAACTACTGTCTCTGCTGCTGTATTCAAACTCAGGCCCAACTCCTAAGTTCTCCTGCTCCTTCTTTCCACCACTGCTTTACACTCATAAAAAAAATAATCCCTGGTCTGACTCAGTTATAGTATTTGACAAATGCCATGTTCTTCCCACACCACTGATATTAAGCCTAATTTTAATTATTTTAAAAATCATTATTACTTGACTGAAGACTTTGTTTTCACCCTTCCTTTTAAAATGCTTGTGATCACAAGAAGTCACATTACTTTGTGTTTAACTGTCCATTATTTGTATTTTAATAAAAAAAAGTTGATACCAACTCTCAGATCAATGTAAAAAAAAACAGTTTACATAAAAACCTGGGCTTTCTCTTCACTTTTGCAGTCTCACCTTTCCTGAACCAGACCAATTACTTCAGCTTCAAAAATAATCTGCCAGATATCAGAATACAGAGTACAAAAAGTCTGTTTATATCAAAGTACTTAATTAATTTGAACAGATTGCACTAGAAGGAAAATTCCATGAATAATTTCCATATTTTATATGCAGGATATTAAAATTGAAATGTACATGAATTCTATGACAATTAGAAAACATTGCTTCATTCACTTAATACATATTAATTGAGCACTTACTGAGCCTTAGGCAACATTATAAAGCTTGTGAAAAATACAGAAATTACTAAAACAGGATACTGTTTCCAGATACTTCAGTGTGGCAGTATATAAGACACAAGAAAAACAAATATAATTGTGGTTAGGGCATGCAGTTGTTTGGAGACAATCCTGCATGGGCCTCTCACGTTTCCTCATGTTTTGTGAGCGAGACACTGACTGTCCTTTGCTCTGAACTCTCTTTTCAAGGATGTTTCTATAGCAAACCTGCTTTGAATGACAGAGGGGTATCTCCCTGTGGAACAAAAGGCACTTTTGCTTACAATCATGGGAGATACAGTGTCTCTTTGCAGAGCAAAGGGTAGGCATGCTTACTGTCCAGTGTAATGATGTCTCCTGCGAGAGCAGCAATTTTCAACCTTTTCCACCTCATGGCACACATAAACTAATTGCTAAAATTCTGCAGCACACCAAAAGATGTATTTTTGGCCAATCTGACAAAAAAAATTGGTATAATTTTGACTCATTCATACCAGATGGTTATTGTTATGTTGCCTGTTGTCTTTTATTTGACAATCTAAAGGAAAAGAGGTCTGTGCCCCAGACTAAATAGGCAGGTAGTGCATGTTTTAAAATTTTTGCAGCACACCAGTTGAAAATAGCTGCTTCAGAACAAAGGACAGTCATATTTCCTACTCATTATAAAAGATTTAAGTTCCGTAGGCTCAATGATCCTATCCTATAATGCAACCAGCCCTCTCCACATCACCCTGGGAACTGGGGCTCGGGGAAGAGGTACGAGTAAGCTCGGATTCACATGCTGCTGTTGTTATGAGGAATAAACTGTCCTTTGTCTCTGATTTAGGAGTCTTATGTCTCTGCCAGCATCTATGAAACTGTGGTAGACTTTCTGCTTTGCTAGTAGGGTAAATCACAGATCCCTGACAACTCTTGACAGTGGTAGGTTGGAAATATGGCCACAAATTCTTCCCTGTTTTTGTATGCCTTCTTACAGTGACTCTGAGCTTGGCCTTGTGATTGGATTGATGAATGGGACATCAGTAAACACGATACAAGCAGAAGCCTGAAAAGCACCTATGCACTGAGTCTTGCCCTCTTCACATGAGTCGTGTCGCGTAAAAATGCCCCAGCTGGCCTGTTTGTGAGAAATACATGCTCAGGGCCCCCTACCACCCCAGTCAAGAGCCTACCAACCACCAGACTTGTAAGCGAGGCCAACTTAGGTCATCCAGCCTCCAGTCAACTCCCCATTAACCACGGATGGTGAGCATGAATCCAGCACAGCTCAGCGAAGCTGGCAGCCCAGGGCAATTATCCAGCTTCTCAGTTTTGGGGTGGTTTGTTACGTAACAAAGCTAGCACATGATACGTAGTGCAAGGCTCAGTCTATATCTGGTTAAATGTTTAAGTCCAGTATTTAGCACAGTGCCTAAAAGAGAAGTGCCAACTGTTCCAACTTTGTCTTGGTTTATCGATCTGAACAATCAATACACAAGTCACTTAATTTTCATTTCACAAGCAGGTGATGAAATTGAAGAAACTCCATGAATCCAGCGGGACATGTGGTTAAGTGGAAAGAGCACACCTGGTACTCAAGGAAACAGATGCCACAGTGTATGAAAACCACCTCTTCTCCTTAATATCTGGCAGTCCTTGGGCAGGTTGTTTAAGCATATTGCACTTTAGTTTCCTTATCTACAGAATGAGAATAATAAGGCCTTGTTCACAGGCGTTATAACATAGGTATTACAAAGGAGGCACTCTGTATCTAACCTACCAGAGTATCAGGGGCATTGTGGTGAAAGAGATGAAAAACTGGGAGTAGCAACAAACACTATTAAATGCCAACATGGAAAATGCTTCCTTGCACTCATGTGCATGCACTTGCTCACATATACACATGCACAACATCAAACCATTTCCCAAAATTAAATTAAAAACCTAATCAGGAGAGATTTAAGAGGAAAGAAGCTAAGCACCAAGAGGGTTATATTATGGTGTTCAGGAAGACTAAACTCATATTACATAATATGAATACACTATACATAATACACAAAGTGTGTTGTTTGAAATGCTCTCTGATTAATATAACCTTTGTGGAAGATTAATGCCCAATAATTTGAGAGTGTATAAAAATGTATCATTATACTAATCCAACTAAATGTCACTTTTCAGATATCCTGCTTTACTTTTGCAGTTAAGAATTAAATTCCTACTTTTTGTTTTAGATAGACATTTTAAGTAATTACCTCTTTATCTTCTACATTACTAGGTTTTACCACATTTAAAACACTTCTTCTAAAAGTCTTTCTTTTACGATTTGGCATCTTGGAAAATTCTCTTTAACTGCTAGTTCAAATTGAATGCAGTTGATATTGTCTCTTAATGATCAAAAACAAGATTATTATTGGAAATATTCAAATCAAACCAACAAACTGCCCATGGGCCTAAGTTGGTTGCTGTATCATTTTGAGACTTTTGTAATGAAAATGTTTAAATTCACCATTGTACACATATTCTCATTTATATATATATTGAATGCTGTTATGTTTTGAATTATTAACCAAAGTAACATTGAAAATAAAATTAAATAAGAATCAAATAACATATATTCAGAAATTAACATTTCAAAATATCCTGGTTAATGATTGTCCATATAAGAGATAGAACAGCATGTTAGTTAAGAGTCAGACATGGATTTTAATTCCAGATCTACCACTCAAGAACGGTGTCGCTTATTACTTAACCTCTAAGTTATTTCAAATTATCTAACTTCTAAGATTCAGTTTCCACATGGATAAAGGTTGATATTTATAGTACCTGTACGTGTCTATAAAATGGGTTGCTGTGAGGATTAAATGAGATGTATATATGTAATCCTTTTTCCACCACCTGAATAACAGGAAGCAGTAAATAAATGGCATTTAATCAGCCATCACCATATTGTGCCCATTCATTTTCAAAGAGAACAACAAACATGTCACTATATTTCATTAGCCACTAGAAATCAAACTCCAAAGTTGTGCTAAACAAGACAACATGGACACATGTCAACCAGAAAGGTCCATGAGGCCAACTACATCTCTGTCCCTAGAACAAATAGTTGGAAAGCACTAAAACAAAAACATGCATAGGAAATTAAAAATCAGAAACATTACATTTCTTTAAGAACTTTGTTTATCTTAATAAATTATTTTCAGATAGTCCTTCTGATCTTGAATCTAGAAACATTCAGGCTCTAGCTGGGTAGCTCAGTTGGTTAGAGTGTCATCCCTATATGCCAAGGTTGCAGGTTTGATCCCTGGTGAGGGCACATACATAGAAGAAGCAACCAATGAATGCATAAATAAATGACAACAAATCGACGTCTGTCTGTCTCTCTCTCTCAAATCAAGGAAGGAAAGAAGGAAGGAGGGAAGGAAGGCAGAAAGGGGGGAAGGAAGGAAGGAAGGAAGGAAGGAAGGAAGGAAGGAAGGAAGGAAGGAAGGAAGGAAGGAAGGAAGGAAGGTCCATCCTACCCCCAGCCCACACCCCCATTGAGGAGCACTATAATGCCACACTTTCCTATGGTGGCCAAATGTCAAATGCCCCTCAACTGAGACGCAAAGGAGAGGTCTGGAGGTCTCAGTGGAAGGACATCCAGATACCCAGGTGAGAGAGGATTCCCAGTAGGGCCCCCGACTCGGTCTGCCCAGGAAAGGCCCCCAACATTCACAACTCTGGGAGCTATCTTCTAATTGGCTGATGGTTGCATGACCCCTTCAGGAAACTTTATCATCCTCTGCTGAACATCTTAAGAGAAACAAACAACCTTGACTTACTCGAAAGTAGTCGCTGCAGGCGGCCAGCACTGCCTTGTGAGCATGGAATTTCTGTTCCTCGGCAATCAGGGTGACATCACAGAGGATGCCGTCACTCCTCTGTTGATTCAGCGCTGCCAGCACACTGTCATTGTGGGATTCGGAGTGGCAGAGCCTCTGGCCTGTCAGCATCTCTTGAATACTGTGAACAAGAGCAATCGAGTCAGCTTTCGTTCTCGCCCCGGCCCTGCTGCCCCGTGCTCCCTCACTCCCTCTCACCAACTTAGGGAATGCGGGTTCCAGCGCATAAAGGGGCAGGACCTCCACACGCCCCCATTTTCTTTCTCTCCACCATACTCTTGCTCTCCTTTTCTAGACTCCTCTTTTCCTCATCCCTTCAGGGTTCTTTTTCTTTCCTGCTAGTGCTTCTCTTCCTGAATGTGTGTTTGTGTGCATCCATCTGTGCCTGTGCACTGACCCATGCCTGTGGGTCTGTGAGCCTCTGCTTCTAAGCCTCTGCCCCCTCAGTACACGTACATCTCTGAGTGAAAGTGCATCTGTAGTGTGTATGTCTGTGTGTGACTCTCCTCTTGACCCCCTCCCGAACTTTCTGCTTCCATCTCCAGCTTTGTGACTCCTGCGTGGGGACAAGCTCAGAATGTAATGACAGCCATGCGCTGATCCGGCACAGAATCTGTGGAACCTGCCCAACCTACAGAGATCCAGGAAGTTACCCGGTCCCCCGCCAAACACAAAACTCTACTAGTAAATAAAACAAAACTGAGCAAATGTTGCTTAGAGAAACAAAGGGTTGCCAGTGAGTACTCCATGTAAAAAAGCTATTGATTAAACCATAGCTGCTTATTGTTAAACTGAGGAAATTATGAACATCAAAAGAAATGCCACTGTAAGTGAAAAATATTTAACCCTGAAAGTAAAACATATCTGTAATTTCAGCCATCAGTGCCCATGTGTGATCACTGTACTACATTTATGAATGACTATAGTTTTATTTCCTCTTTTTTTGAAGTTGCTAAATTTACCCATTGTGAAACTTCTTCCCTCCCTACCCCCTTCTAAAATATTCTTCCCATGTCCTTTCAAAACTCCTAGGTGAAACCCCAGACCTTCCTAAAATAAGGTAATAGTAATGTCATAAACACAAAATGCAAACTGCCTATGTAGACAGCTATGAACAATTACAGCTCTGATGTATGAAAGTCTCCACCGTGTGTTCAACTCTCAGAGCTGGCACTGCATGAAAATGGGTGAGCTGCACCCGTCATAAGTTATGCCCAGAACAAGTATAAGGGCCATCAACCCCTGTTTCAAGTCTGTGGTCTCTTCATCAAGCTGAGTAAAGATACCATGTTGATGACTGGGCACTGTCTCTCCTATCCTGATAACCCCTGCATCCAGTCCCTCCCTCTGAGTGTGAAAGAGGCACTCAGGGGAGTTCGGGAGTAAACACTGGCCTGGAATGCATAGTTAATTTATTTGACAGGGCTCTGTCCCGCCTGTGGTGCCAGTTGGCTGGTAAATTACAATTCAGCACAAATCACACCGCCCTAATGTGAGGCCAATGCTTCCCATGAAATGCCAGAGTGTAGCCAGTAAGCGGTACTGGACATTTCTGACTGGGGAGTCTCAGAAATGTCAGAACTATTGAAAGAAAAAAAAAACCACTTGACAGGAGGTGATGATATAAGAAGTTCTTGTGGGAAGGTGGGAGGATTATTTTCGGTTCAAATGCAGCAGTGGGTTTTGAAATGGTTACTGTCATCAAGCCTATATGTAGACTTTAAATCAGCAATTGCAAACCGCATTCAGAAGCATAAGTAACGTCTTACCATAAATTTTTTTGGCAAAGCCTAAAATGGGGATTCATTAGCATGGCTCAGTTGAAGACATAAAGGGATAAAATAGTAACAGAAATATTGAATCAGCTAAATTAATCTTTAAAATAGTTTATGAAAAAATCTCTCCCCTCAAAAGAAACATTTTTATATATTTTATAAACTCAAAGGTCTTACTTTGTCCCATGAATTACTCAGTGATATGTAATTATTAATTCACTTAATATTCATATCAGCCCTATGAGGCAGGTACTATCGTTATCTCTAGTTTACAGAATAGAAAACCAAAGGTCCAAAATCAGGCATTTTTAAGAACCTAGCATCAAGAACACAATAAATGTAAATCCATCCTCCTGCTTAAAAAACAAACAAAAAAAAGACAAATCAAAAAATGTAATAATCTGTAAAAAGGATGTCAAAAATATATGATGGCAAGTTAAAAATTCGCAAGGTCCCTATTAATTTTATATTTATACTATGCATAGTTAATCTCAAAATCAAAGCTGCCTTTTAAAAACATTATACATGAACACATTTACATGACATAGTGGTAAGAAATATTTGAAATTATGATTCGAAATACTTACCTTTGCACTGTAACTTAAGATAAGTTTTGAAATAGAGAGTAAATGTTTTATAACCTTAGAAAATTTATTTGAGATTTTCATAACTTTTCTCCCTTTTAATATCACCTTAAAGGCTTAATAAATATATTTTGAAATTTCATTTGTAGTGGAATATATTAATATAATTGCCTTAAAATATTTCCTTACTCATTTTCTAAATATAGTGCCACAATTCGTGTCCTTTTATCAAGACTGAATCAGTGTTTGAACTTCAGGTATCAACTGACAGCAAATAAATCTTGCCAGGGACACAAAAGCTGTCAACTGAAATTTGCCAAAGAACAAAGGGCTTGGTTTGGAAACAGCTGTGATGCTGCACACTTGCACAGGATCATTCAGCTGGGTCTGAAATGTTCAAGCTTAAAGAAAACAACAAGCTAAATATTTAAGGCAAAACCTGGCACAAGATTCCAGATATTTTGGAACCAATATGTTAGTAATTCTTAAAAGCAGAAACAAATACTCCAACTTTTGGCAAAAATAACGGCCTATTAATCAACCACTGTTGTAGTCTGAGAGAAACTTTCTACTCACTCTCAAATGTAAACCTACAAAAGACCTCAACCCTCTAAACATGAAGGCAACCCTCTAAACATGTGGCCACAGAACACAGCTGGAAGACAGCAGGCCCATTTGAAGTCAATAATCATAAACCAGGAGGAGGTGCATCAAAGACTATGATGTACCACGTCAACATTAAGATGGGGAGCAGATACATGCTTGCAAATGGCTCCCTCAGCATCTATAATTCATCCCAGATTAGCACACTAAACCTCCCAACTTGGAGCAACGTCCCTCCGCTATGTGGGGAACAAAGAAGAAGAAAGCAAACTCATGTTCCTAAAGCTTCCTAAATTACTGAAAAAGAACAAAACATGAGGCACATTTCCCAAGAGTATACAATTTTAAGTGTCATCCTAAAACTGGGGAAGGTGTTCCATGAAAGCAATGCTGCCGCGTCAAAAGTCACCGGTGAGTGCAGAGGGGGCTGGCTTCTCCAGGGCAATCCCAGCAGCCTCTCCTCTGAGGGGACCCTGGAACTGCACTATCCAATAAAACAGCCACTGCACTGTGACTACTGGCCAAAATGCACACACTGGGTGCCAGACATAGGATAAAAAAAGACTGCCAAATAGCTCATCAATATTTTTATATTGATTACACATTGAAATGATAATATTTTGCATACACTGGGTTAAATAATCTATATAGCTAAAAATCACTTTACCTTTTTCTTTTGCCTTTTAAAAAAATGTGAGCCTTTGAAATTTTTAAATTATAGATACGTTTGAACTATGGTCTATTGGATAGCATGCAAGTTCCCCAGGAGATGCGGCCTTCCCTCCCTCCCAGCTGAACTCTATGAGAGCGTCGGCACCCTGCCACGCTGCCGATGAGCACAGCTGCTCCTGCGCCTCCCAGGGCCGCGACTCTGCCGCACCACATGGGAGGCCCTAGACTCCCTGAGCTGCAAATTGGTTTTCAGTGATGCCAGGGAGCAACCGTTTGATTGGCCATATGTCAGCATCCAGCGACAGGGAGACAAATCAAGGATGTCTTAGGGAACACGGCTATTCACGACTTCAAGTCTTTAATTTTCATTCTGAAATTGATGGCAAAAACTGAAAAATCAAATGCAGAGCATGATGTTCATGGCATGGTATCCCCCCTCACAGTGAAGCACCGCTTTAGTGCAAATCACTACTTCAAGTTCGTAGAGTTAACATTTTTGATCACAGAAATCTCAGAGTCTCATTTTCATACAATAAATTTTGACTGTGCTCAGTCAGTTTTTAAGATTTAAATTCCAAAAGAGCTGTTTGGGTTTAAACATCCTACGTTTCAAATTTAAAAATTCAAGTCAATTTCTATATCAATGTTTACCTAGTATTTAGATATATAAAAATATGCAAGTAAGACCACTGATAAGGTATTACATACTTATATATCAAAAGCAGCCAAGTAGCATAAAAAGCTTCATTTTTTAAATAGATTATGGAAGAAAGAAGAAAACTGGACAGAACACCTCACATTACTAGAATTATTCATGATTGCCTCAATTCAGTCTATTGATGGACTATGAAATGAATATCCTAATGACTTCAGTTCCACAGTCAAAATAAAAAATATCTGTATACAAAGTAAATACATTAATATTAAAACAACCATATTTATTAAATTGGACAGACTGCTAAAAGACTGCATAATGGAGCTTCATTTTTTTATAGAAAAATTTATAATTTGTAAATACTTTAAAGTAAATGCTAACAATTATAGCAATGGTTGAAATAATAAGCAAAGAAGACATAATATGCTTACGGAATGATTAAGAAATAAGAAGACTATAAAGAAAGGAATTTAATTATAAGTAGTTTTGTTTCATTCCTTTCCTCATTCCTTCCTTCATTCCTTCATTCATTCGCTTAAGAAACATTTATTCATCCTGTGCCAGGTATTGTGCTAGGTCCAGGGGATAAAATGGCGAACAAACGAAACTTGGTAGCATCCAGCGTGGAACATTCAGTTTAGCAAGTCAGTTAACGCATTGTCAAATAATGTGTCCTCCTGAAGTACGGCTGGCATTGCAGGCTGAAGCAAACAAGACAGAAAGGAGTTTTCCAGGCAGGGGAACAGGAAGCCCTACAATCCCATGGCAGGAGGGAGCATGGCCCTTACACAGAAGGTTAATGGCTGCGATCCCGAGGACAAGGGAGGACATGGCATAGACTCTGGAGCTCAGAAAAGGGTCTTAGCTACAGGTGTAAATCTGGGCCTCAGCTCCATAGAGAGGGTGACAGAAGCACAGCTGTGTCTCCAGAACACAGCTGAGAAACAATCCACGGTCAAAGGCTGTGCTCTGGCTGGTGTGGCTCAGTGGATTGAGTGCCAGCCTGCAAACCAAAGGATCACCAGTTCAATTCCCAGTCAGGGCACACGCCCAGGCTACAGGTCAGGTCCCCAGTAGGGCATGCGAGAAGCAACCACACATTAATGTTTCTCTCCCTCTCTTTCTCCTCTCTCTGAAAACTAATAAATAAAACCTTTAAAAATAAATAGTGAATATTGGAAAACATTAAAAAAACATTGCTGAGAAGATAAGAAAGACAAAATTCAAAACAAAGCAGCAAGGCTGGGCTCAGTTGTGGTACAGACTTCCCTCTGAGTATCTCTGAGTATCAGGAGAGATGGAATAAGTAGACCAGAAACACATTAAAACTATGGGCGTTTGGGGCTTACAGATTTAGTGGAACCAATTCCCACTGGACCACGTAGGCATGAAAACATGCATAGTTGGGTTCATCTGAGTTGAGATTTTTGTCAGGCAAATGCATCAAAAATGCAGGGAGGAAGGGAAATCAGGGATTTAGAAGCGTGACAGAATCTCAACTATATAAGAAGGGAAATAAGGGAAAAAGGGGTTGATGGACCGGTAGAAAGTAACAGGGCCAGTAGCTGAGACACCGCAACGAGGTCAAAATGCAACCATGACGGAGGTAGCTAAATGGGCAAGCTAGGAGACGCGGTCCTGGTAAGAGTGAAGTGGCTGATGTGGGGGTTTCAGAAATACAGCAGCTACTGGGGATGCCAGGTCCAAGGTGTAACCATGGGAACAGGTGGCTCAGTGGAGGGAGTAGGTCTCTGGACATAAGCAGGTCGAAGATCCAAGGCCATGAAGTTGGATGGGCCCTCCATGCAAAAACCGAGGGCATTGGGAAGGTGTAAAGGATTTGTCGTGAAGATGACGACTGAAAGCCAGGTGTCAAATGCTCAGTGAATGAGGGAAAATGACCCAGAAGGCAGCGGAGAGGAGGTGAGGGTGAGAAGGTTGAAGAGCACCACCTTCAGAAGCAAGTCTTTGTTGTTGCTTTCTCAACCAGTTTGAGGAGTAATGATCTCAAAAGAAAAGTGTCCCAGGGTGACAACAATCTCTCTACCCATCCCCAAACTATGAGGAAATGAAAATGCCGCCTCTTGAGAGGGCTACCAGAGAGTGATGCCTCAGGAGAGGGCAGGTCTCAATGAAGGAGGGAGGTGAACAGAGCTCTTCAGGGCGAGGGAGATGGTCATAGTTCCACCGCACACGGGAAATTTGAAAGTGAGAAAGGGAAGGCTCTGCATCAGAGCAGAGAAGGAAAAACCACTGTAGAGACAATAGTGCTGTGGAGGAGAGATGGCAGTGGGACTTGATCCGTAAAAACCGAGATGGCACACTTAAAGTAAAAAATCATTTTCAGATGAATCCACATGGATCCTGGCAGGTGACAATAAAGCACTTGGCTGAGGTGGTGGCAGACAGATACCATAGTCTCTATGTGTTGTGCTGGCTGGAGGCCAGACCTGGAGTAGGATTTCTCCATGTCAGTGAAATTGACATTCTGGGTTAGATCTTTTTGGTTTTTTTTTCCTATGGGGGCGAGGGCAGTTGTCTTATGCATTTTAAGCTATTTAGCACCCCTGACCCCCAGTGACAACCAAAAATGTTGCCAGATATTGTGCAATGTACCCAGAGGGCAAATTCATCCCCTTTGAGAATCACTGATCTAAAGGAAGACTCACTTGGAGAATGGAGAGGCACTATGCTGACTGCCGCAATGCCCATTTCTGAACACATTCTGGGGAACTAGTTATCTCTAAGAGCTTCAGAGCTGAGGAAGAAAGCTGGTCTTATTATTTCATAGACATAACCCATTCTTAGTATTTTTCATAAGGAAGGTATTTCCCAGGTTTATCACCTCTCTTATTCTTTGCTCTGATGATCCTTTTGACTGTTTCCTCCTAGAGTGGAGACTTGCCTCCACTGAAAACACTCAAAGGAATGCCCTGCATTCCAACTGACTGCCCCTCAAGCTTGGGGCAAGCGCCAGTCTCCTTCCTGCCGGAGGTGTTTCCCCATCTGGTCCCAGCCTGCGGACCTCAGGTTACAGAGCACTTCTTCACCAAGGCAATTCCTCATTCGATCAATCCTGTGCTTTTCCTGCAAGGCACTTTTCACAATTACATTTTCATTGTTCCCAGTGTGATTTGCCTATAGAATATATATTTTATAAGCGCAGTAACCTTATCCATTTTATTCACTTCCGGATTCTCTGCACCAAGTAGAGTGGGCAATATATATCTGTTAAATAAATTATTAAAAGGAAACATTAGGAATATTTTGAGAATATGTATTCTTCTCCCCAGTGATTGCTTTAAGGGGATGATAGTCATATATATGTATAGCTTTTTTATTCTATTCTAAATCATACACCTTTATAGCAGTGTATCTTTTGTTTGAGGGAGGTTAACATCCTAAAGAAGAAAAAGAGAAAAAGTAGCATCCATCCAAGAATGATGAACCCTATCTAAGTCTGCCTAGTAATTAGATCACAGCAGGTAGCCCTGGTGCTACCACACTAAACTCACACATGCTGAGACTGTTTGTGCTGAATTCCTTCAAATATGTGTTGTGCCCTGCTCTGCACTGGGTCCTGGAATGTGCAGTGTGAAGATTCCAGGGCTGACTACACCAGCGAGGACATATCCCACAGGGCTGACCTGAGGCAGCGTTCAGACGGCATTTTCCAGCTGGGTTCCTTAGAGTCTCAGCCTTAGAAGTCTGCAGCAGAATCGGCAAGCATTCCAGCTGAATAAAGACAAGAAAGAAAAGCACAGTGAGCTAAATGCAACAATGTACACTCTGGGCCTTTAGAATCCCAATGCGTTTTATAGTTGATATAACACTCTGACTTAAAGGCTCTTTTAATAAACAATATAGTTCACAATGCTTTTAAGTGCTTAAGTTTTTTTACTGTTTAAGTTTTATTGGAACTTCAGGGACTGAGAAGCAAAATGTGTTCGAGAACAAATAATAGCTAAATTAAGTGTTACAGTAAAAATTAAATCATCAAATGGCCAAAGGGAAAAATTCACATGTGATAAAATAAAGCTACAAAGTCCTACACCACAAATACTTGTTCACTTATCCTTTACAGTGATTTTACTTTCTTTCCAAACACGAACATTAGTGAAATTAAGGTAAAACCAATTATGTCTTGGCTAAGCACCTACAGAAAGAAACTTTTCTATTCAAGAAGATTTCTGATACTAGATTAAAAACAGCATGCAAAGAAGATAAAAATTAGTAGAAAATGGAAAACAGATTCTTAGAAGAACTTTAGGATTAGCATAGTTGGAAGCATATCATAGGATGAAGTCATCAACCTTGAAATTGTTCCTTACCTATATATTAACGTAATCTCACCCCAATCCTCTAGCAGCCCTCATAGCCTTTGTTTTCAATCACTGGTATAACTTGAAAGAGAAGAGTAAATTATTTGAATAGTCTGGCACATGGTCCATGACTTTGCTTTTTAGTCTCATTACAGAGTCTAACTCCCACTTCCTAATACACTCAAGCAGCAAAATTAATTACAACCTGGAAAATCTTAAACAGGCTTCTTTCTGCCTCAGTTATATTTTGAAAACAGATTAACAGGTTAAAAACACTTATGAAGTGAATATGTGAAGCTGTGCCTATTTCTGCTGATTTGTATAAAAGAGAGAGGTGTTTCCAATCAAAAATATAGTATTAGTTATAGCATATACAAACCCTCAGTAGGGTATGATTGTATTGTAATCCATGTAGACATATCATAATTTACTTAACTATTCCATTGTTACTGAATATCAGGTTGTTTTGAATATTATTCACACAATTATATATTTAGCTCTTGCTTTCTTTTTCAATTATAAAAAAATAGGATATTTATACTTTCATTTATTTCTAATTTGTTTGGACAAACTTAAAAATGAGCATTATTTTCAATGAATCTATTATGACTGAGCTGTACAAAGTATGAAAATAAAGCAAGAATCATTGTTTTATTAGCAAAGAGGCTTTCTTAGTAACCTATTACTGCTCAAAATCCAGGTAATAATCTCTAGATAGAGATGGTCACTCGAGCTTTAAAATGGCAAAAGACTATTATTACAGAGAGGTGAAAAAAAACACCTTAATCTTTCTGAAAGTCTAATATTACTCAATGCTCCCAACAACTAGGCAAATGAAGAACAAGTATCCTAAAAGTTAAAACCATCCAAAATTAAAGGATATGTTGTGCTTGGTACTTTTCAGACATTCCAAAAAGCAGTAATGAAATTTCACAAGTTAAATTAAATTCCCTTATTATTTGGAAACTAACTCACTGAATGAGCTAGTTTTATACTAATCCTACCTTTATTTTAAATTTTTATATTGTGCTCATCATTAACTTTGAAATATTACATTAAAATATTTTTTCTCCTAACACTGAATTTTTGGGGATACTCTTAAATTTTGTACCTCATTCACCCACCCTCGTCTGAGCTCTGTTTTCAGTTGTGCGGACAGTAAACCAAGAAAATAATTCTTCAAGGAAGGAAGCAGAAAAAAATAAGTAGATGTTTAGAGAAAAAGTTAGAGGTGAGAGATGGGAAGAAAGGACATTCTGATTTTCCATGCACTACTTCCTCAGAGGGTACATAAATAACCTAGATCTGTATAACAAATTCCATGTTTTATTTAGGCTAACTCAACTGGAGATTAAATGATCACCAAGAAAATCAAATAGGGCCACTTAAGATTTTGCTTGGGGAAAATGCGGGTGCTCTACCACTTTAAAAACACAAAGACACAGATATTCTTTTATTATGAGTTTATCTAAAAAACTAATCATCATTTATGTGTTAAATATTGCTTCTGTGGGAAAATGTACTCTAAGAACTCTGCAGAAAACATAGGTTTAAATAAGTAATGTACATGTTTTTGTGACATTTAATGTTGTTTCCCCTACATTCTTTAAATGACCAAGCTCCTGAAGACAGTTTTAACTGCTTTTCCACACAAAGTCATTAGATGAGAAAGCAAAACACAGACACATCCTGGGCAGAGCAGAGAGGATAGTGCAGGGCATTATCACAATACTTAGAACAGCATACAATTTAAAATTTATGAACAGTTTAGTTCTGCAATTTTCCATGTGATCTTTTCAATCACAGTTTACCATAGAAAGCAAAACTGCAGATGAGGAGGGACTCGTGTATCTAAAAATCAAAGTACATCGATTATAGCAAAATTATAGAAGAAATGGAGTCAGTAAATTCTTAACAATATAAGACACAAATATGTATATAATGATATACTGAGGAGAGTTTATAACCCCATGAGAGAGGAAAAAAAATCAAAAGGCAAGAGGTGAAACACCTTTTTGCATATCAGTCTCACCAAAGGTTGCCAGGATATACAGAAAACCAATGTAAACTGGCCTGGTATAATAACCCTAGATGCATATTTATAATGGGGAGAAGGCAAACTCTTTAAATAATGGAACACACTAAATCATTGTTTTAAAAAGGTGATGTGTAACCATACTTCTTATAATGAGGAGAGCCAATACTCATGAAATCTATGAAAGCTTGTGCAGCAGAGCTTCAAGATTTCCTATGTTACTCTATTTAACATTTTACATATCTGAAAGGTTTTAACAAAACCAAAGGTTTTACAAACAATTGGTTTGACTCCCCTTCCCTGTCTCCTGGATGGAAACACAGAGGGCACACTCTGCCAGAGGGTAGGTAAGAGCACAGCTGGGAGACAAACTGAACATGCTGGATGTCACCGTCAGCCTCAGGCACAACCTGACGAGATGAGGTTAACAGGGCTCAAGAAATGTTTCTATATTTTATTAAAAAAATAATTATCAAAATGGAGGAAGTGTAGCTTGTCAGTCACATGAAATTTTTTAAAACCCAAGTAATTTGTACAACCATAAATAGTGTCAAAAGAGCATGAGATAGAAGACAATTCATTAATATTGCCAATATATAAAGTATTTATACATCCATAAGAAAAAGATGAACCACTCTATAGGAAATAATGGACAAAGAGCATAAACAGGCAAATCACCAAAGTAGAGATATAAAGGAACAGGAAACATATTAAAATATTCCCTCTGGTTAGTAAGAAAAATGCAAAAAAATCAACAAGATACCATTTCCTTCCAGTCACATTGGCAAAGGGTAATGATGGCCAATGGGAGCGAGGAAAATAATGTCCTTATACATGCAGGCAGGTGTCTCAATTGGTACAGGCACTCCCGAGGGCCATTTGTAAAGACGTATTAAAGGCCTTAGAACAGGCAAATCCTTTGATCTAAAATTCCACATCTATAATTCCACCCTATGGAAGGAATCAAGTAAGTGTGCAAAGGTATAAGTACAAGGACATCCACTGGAGTGCTGTTTATACAAGCAAAAAATAGAAGCAATTTGTATGTTAGAGGATGAGTTAAATATGCACTGCATCTCCTTCAATGGAGAACCAAGCAGTACTTTAAAATGGTGATGTACACATATATAGTTATTAACATGAAAAAATACATGATTTAAGATAAAAATAAATAATAAATCAATACATACTGTATTACATAAAACCACTTTGGTAAGAAACTAAAGATGTCAATGATGATTATCACCATGTGAAAGCTTTGTAAAATTTTGGTGTCAATGTTTTTTCTAATGTTTCTACAATAAATATGTACCTTGCATGAGTAAACAAAAAAAAGGAGGTTTTGTATTCCAATCCAGTACTTACCAGACATATAACTTCAGCTAAGTCAGTTAATCCCAAGACACAGTTTATTCATACATAAAATTGGTATAATAATAAACAGTATCTCTCAGGGCCAGTATAAGACTAAAACTAAAAGCAAAAAGCACTTTACAACTGTAAAGTAATGATGAACATTGGTTACTGTTCTTAGCTGACAGAAAGTCCAATAGAAAACAGCCCCATAGAGTGGCTGGGCAAAGACAGACAAACTGGTAGACTCTCGGGTGACACTAAGGGGAGTGTGGGGCCCGTGCCAGTCCTCCTCCGCCCACACAGGTCATCTCACGTGTGGTAGGGTGCTTGTTTCCCAGTGTCACAAAGGGGTAGGAAGGATGGTGGTGATGATGATGATGATGATAGGACAACCTTTCTTAAGCACTTAATGGCTGTCCAGCACCAGGAATGATTTCCTTACCTTATTTAATCTATTAGGCATTTTACTATCCCCTTTGTACGAATCAGGATACTAAGGCATAAAGAAATCAAGTAATTTTATGAAAGCCACACACAGCTGGTAAGTGGTGAAACCAGGTTTCCAGCCCAGCAGACTTGCTCTTCAGGGTACTGGGAACCCCTCTTCTTTGCCTGGTTGGCTCCTATTTATTCTGCAAGTCTCAGATGTTACCTCCCCTGGGAAGCCTTCTTAACACCCCAGGTCTGAGTTAATCCCTCTTCTACATGCTACAATACTACCTAAACACCCACACTCACAGCATAATTAGCACTCTATATAATTACCTGTTTGGGCAAGGAGGCAAAAATCTATTGCCTCCGTCACATTTCCACCCATAAGTCAAGCCCTAGGCAGTAATCTCTTTAAGTAGGGTGACTATTCATCTTGGGGTAGTCTCAGTTTTGCCTGTTGTCCCTGTGTAATTACTAGTTGCATTCCCATTTGCCCTCTTTTGTTTTTCAGTTTGGATGATAAATTTTTTGGCCATCCTGTCTATTTAGACAGGATCTACATTTTTTTGTTCATTGTCTTGAATCCCCTG